TGCAGAACAGGAACCTGCTATAAAACAGCAATTATGCTGAGTCAGGCTTGATTTTTAGTAATCTTTTCCTGTTAAATCAATAAATCAAATCAAATCAAATCAAATCAATTAAAAGTATTTAGATGGTTTTTGTGTTTTTATTAATTACACCTGATAACTTGGTCCTGTTTTGGATTGTGGATAAGCAGCTGAAACAAAAAAAGTCCCTTTGTCCTTAGAGACACACCGAGGTTATTGTCTTCTGAGGAGGGGGCTAAAGTTCAGCTGAGGCAGCATCTCTAAGCTCCCTTGTTTTTTTACATCTGCACATGTGATGTTTGTGACAGGTGAATAGCTCAGACCTAGAAGAGTCAAGAAGCTGGCTCTGTTGGACAGAGATACCAAAGAGTAAAAAAGAGTGAAGATATAACAGAACAGCTCCATTGAGGCTGGTGTGTCGACACCATTGTTTCTTGCTGGCGCAGACTTTGGTACTACAGTAATCACTGCCGTCCTGAACAGCTGAGAGCATGTTGGCACAGAGGCATAATCCTGGACTTTCCCCTGTCTGTGGTGGTAATCATCCTGCTACCAGACTCCTACAGCTAATTAATACCAACTACAGGGGAGATACTTCTGAAGCACTTGGCTCTACTGGCAATACGCTAATCAGCAGACAACCAAAGCTTTTTACAAAGAAATAAACTGCAACACCGAATCAACGGCAAAAAAAGACAAAAAGCGAGGCTGGTTACGGAAGAAAGTAGCTCAGAACAAAACAAAGTTGGGGCCAATGAGTTCAGTGAAGATGAGATGCACGCAGACAACGTAGCCAACAGGAAGATGAGCTGAGTCAACTGGACTGTCAGACGGTTACTCAGTCTGCTGGGTTATTTCAGAGCCATGGCTGCTCCAACACATTTCAGCACCACATGAAGTCTCAGTGACTATTCTTCTATCTAAAAAACAAAAAACAAAATAACTGAGTGAGTCAACAACCTGAGTGTTTCAGCGTTTTCAGGTTCGTGCTGTTCTACCTGCTGAATGGGTGTTTTTAATCTCTAACAAATCCACACAGCAAGGTGAGAATTTACATCACAGAAGGACACAAACTGTTTTGAGATTCCGTTATTTTAAGATAAACACAAAATTTAAAAGAACTTTTGACATTTCAGCCAGTTTAAATAATTGTAAATTATGTATATATGTATGTATATATTTAAGAAACAGATAAAAAGCTAGGTTTCTGAAGGCATAAGGGAAAGTAAAATGAGAAGCTATATGAATTGTTGTTTGAGCTGATGTTTTTTATTTTTATTTGTATTGTTTTGTAAATTATGTTTCGTTTGAATATATGCCAGGAATAAAAGGGGCGGACATTATAAGATTTATTCTTCTTCTGCTGTCTTTCATCTTATTTTGATTTTTGATTTGTGTATTTTCTTTGTTTTTTATTGCAAATAGTTATTTTTTAATGAAATGAAAAATTTTTTTTGAATTGAATTGAAATAAATTCACATTTTAATAGTGGACAAATCTATCCACCACCATCATCTGCCACTTATCCATAGTTGGGTCTTGGAGGCAACAGGTCTAGAAGAGAGACCCTGGTATCCCTCTCCCCAGTGACAACAGCTCATCCTGGGGGACCCAAAGGCGTTCCCTGGCCAGAGAGGATCCATTATCCTTCCAGTAAGTCCTGGGTCTTCCCTGGGGCCTCCTTCCAGTGGGGTGTGCCCAGAACACATCTAAACGGGGGTGTCAAGGAGGCTTCGTAATCAGATGCTCAAACCACCTCAACTGACTCCAGCAGTGGCTCTTCTCAGAGCTCTACCCAAATGACAGAGCTCCTCACACTACTGTATCTCCAAGTCTAACTCCAGCCAGCCTACGAAGGAAACTCGTTTTGACTGCTTGTATTCAGGATCTTGTTCATGATCCACGCCTCCTGSCCATAGGTGAGAGCTGGAACGTAGACAGACATGTTAATTCAGAGCTTTGCCGTTCGACTCAGCTCTTTCTTCACTACGACTGGCCGAAGCAACGCCCTCATTACTGAGGACGAGGCCCCAATCCGTCAATCCACCTTCATCCTACCATCACTTGTAAACAAGACACCCAGATCCTTTCCTCTACTTGGGGCAAATACCCCCCACCCCTCGAGGAGGCATTCCACCCTTTTCCAGTCAAGAACAATAGCCTCATGGTGCGTTCACACCGAACGCRATTTCAGCGTCAGGAGCAGCAGGTTTACATACAAAGTCTATGGTGGACGCGCTTCAAGCAACGTCAGGAAGTTCTGCGGCGCCTCAAGCGCGATTAGAGCAGCGCGATTTGGACGATTTGGACGATCTGAGCGTCTAACGCTCAGATCGTCCAAATCGTCCAAATCGCTGAAGTTAGAAAATCTGAACTTTTGCAGCTCGACGCGCAGCGTCAACCAATCAGAGAGACTCCACTGTGTGACGTAGCGACATATTTCCCGACAGGACAGTTTACTGAATGATGTCCACTAACCTGAAACAGACGGAGCGGAGCTCTTTAGCTGAAATGAGTGCTGCAGTCGTGTCCTGATCCGCAACAATGTGTGGCAGCGACTCATCAGACTGGAAAAATAGTCCTGAAAGCGAGCAGTGAGCCTCTACTCTGAATTATCTGGTGAATTAATTATGAATTAATTATCTGATGAACGTGACATGCTCTTGCTCTCTGTAAATAAAGCAACGTCACTTCCTCGTCCGACATTAAACAGCCCCACAGAGGAGGGAGGGGCGGGGCGGCTGTCGCCATGCAGCGCAGCTGTCCTGCGTCTGACCTCAAAGTGCACAAGCTTCAAACTTCAGCGTTGGCTGCGATTTTGAAGCTGAAATCGCGTTCGGTGTGAACGCACCATCAGACTCAGAACTGACTCCAGCTGCTTCACACTCAACTGTGAYGACCCCCCGATGCACGCTGAAAGTCTTGGCCAACAGAACCACATCATCTGCGTAAAGCAGAAATGAGATCCATTGCTTTAGTTTGGTTCAGATTGAAGGATAATTGAGGGAACTTATAGTTTATTTTCTTTAAAATCTTTTGTGTGATAGTTGACAAGTCTGTTAAAATTAGTTTTCATCATACAGTTTCAGTTGCTTTCTCAAGTAAAAAAATRTTTTATGTTGTTATTTTTTTGTTTCATCTGACAAAAAGTGAATACTGCCAATGATTATCCAGTATTTTAAARGAAGCCACACTTTTCTCTTTTGTTTGATGCTGAGCAACTGAAGCACGTTTCCACAGATTTGTCTTTCTCTCTGTGTGCTCAGAAGTAAAAAAGAGCAACTTTTACCAGTGTGCTTTGTTATTAGGCAGGTCACAYTCCTTACCTGTTAACCTCTGCCTGAACTGTACTTTGGCTTTTATTCAGTAATTTCCTCCCACCTTAAAGTCTCACACTTAAGCTGTTCAGACCCTTTTTGAAGAGGTCAATTTATATATTTATGTCACTACACAAAAAACAGGAAGTGAAACACTCATGTAGCCCTGTGCTACTTTCAGTGAAGCTGTTGTATGATTACACAACATTTTTAGGCGCTTTGTTGACAAACAAATTACGTTATAGATGCACAGGTAAAGTCACAGATTCATCCTTGTCGTCAAATCACCAAAGCTGCTCTTGGATGAAAACACATTTGGGAATTTTGACTTATGGAACTTAACAAGCACCATGATGATTATTAGAAACACAACTGATTGTTTCATTTGTTTTACAGCAGCCTTTGATCACTGCGACATCAATGTTCTTGATGTTATATAGCTAATTATTATTATTTTTCTTCACAGAACTCACATGTCCTTGTCGACTATTTGGCTAGCTAAAAAATGCTATCATAAAAAATGCTGTCATTAAAATCAAGTGAGTTAAGACACTATCATTCATCAGAACACTTTACAAAGAGCTAAAAGCAGTACCACTGTGACCTATATTTATTGATAAAATTAGGATTTTCATGGCTTTTTCTGGAAACAAACAGTGACAACTGAGAAAGAAAAGGCAGAGAAGACTCAACCAATTTGGCCAAACAGCCGAGCCCCAGYTGCTTCTTTTTTATTAAACATTTCATAATGAGATAATTAAACACATCTACTTACCTTTATTAGCACATGCTATCCACTGCAAAGGGGTGACGTCGTAGTTATGCTGGCCGACGGAGAATGTGAAAACTCGAACCTAATTGAAGAAAAATATGCAAAAAGATTAAATAAACAGTTATACACTACTAATGTGCCAAAAAAGCAGAGTTGTATAAAGTACTTGAATGAAAGTAAAAGTAAAAAAAACCTTAACAGAAAATTACTTTGGTACAAATTAATTTTACTGATAAGAAAACCCTTCATTTGTTTGAGCATAAACAACTCTTTTCATGAGTCCTGATCATATTTCATTTTGTAACTGACTAGGTGTTCAATTTGACATTAAAAAATTAAAAGTATAATTTTTACATTTTGAATGTAATGAAATAAAAGTAAAATTTACAACAAAAATATTTGGTAAAATTACAAATCTTCAAAAGAAAAAAAAGACTTGCGTACTATAACCAAGAAAATGGACTTAGTTACTTACACCTCTGCCAAATAGTATAATCAAGATTGACAAAAAAACCTACATATTAATGATATAAAGATTATTATTACTATGCTCATAAATAATTATATGAGCTATACTTTGAATGTCAATGAGTTCAACTTCATAAACCAGCTATACAACACATCATTATAGTTTCTTCTTAAAGAGCTAAAATCCGACAACAAACTTTGACATAATAGAAATATTACATGGCAGTTGTCACGAGGAAGCGAGACAATAAATTTTAGGATTTAGTTTGAATATTCTGCAAAGTAAATCCGATTATTGGATTGTACGCAGATGTAATGTAGCGGCCTGCRTTGACTTTTATTGTGAATTAGTGCTTTCGTAAATCAAGTGGGCAAAATTGAAGCAAATGAATATTGGTGGGGTTGTGAAGTGGAGGAGCTGAAGTGGAGGAAGTGACAACAAGACAAACAAAGACAATCTAGTGGATTGCTGGCTGCACGAGAACAGGCTCTGATGATAAAGTGGCTAATTAATCAGCAAGTCAGAGCTGTTAACTCAAGCAGCTAAAATACAAAAGAGACAGAGCAGAAACCAAAAAAAGTAGAGGAGGAGATCTAAAGAAGAAAAAAAAACAGAAGAAAGACTTGGAGAGGATGCATTGTGCACAGACTGGAGAACCTGGCATGTCTGACAGTCTGACTAACACAACTCCCTGTGCTATAATAAGAGCAGATCTGCAGAAAACCGTGGAAMTGGGAACAGAAAAGGGACTCATACATGCATGATCTGTTGGGCTGGCAGAATCAATRCACACAAAGCAGCCATGTAAAAAGACACTCACTGTTTTGTTAGGCCAGTTGTACTTGTAGAAGATTTCTTGYGCACGATCTTCTCCACCATCTGTAAACATCATTATCATCTTATTGCAGTTGGCCCTCGGGGCACTGCTCTCCTGTGGCATACAGGAAACAGACACCAAAAGTAAAAAAAAAAAACAGCAAAGACAAAAGGTTACAGGAGAAAAAAAAACAAGAAAAAACATACTAATGATGGAACATAACAAAATGTAATACATTAGTAAAATATCTACAAGTTCTGCCAAGATCTTCACAGACTCTCTCATTCACCTATCCATACACAAAGTACTTTTACACATTACATACAGTACATTTGAATATTTTTCCTCATACTGTATACTGATATTAGTGGAAGTTGGGGGTGTTGTGTCTTCCCAAGAACATTTCACAACCCATTCTCACTCCCAAGTCGTCACATATTGACGCTTTTCCAAGGTTCCCTCTACGTCCGATTTTGACGCGCCGGGTACCCCCGTCACGTCAGTTACTGACGAGATGGGGCGAAATCTGTTGTCATATTTTCAGAAAGTGTAGAAAATGCGCAAAAACTACCGTTTCGAAGCCTGAAATTACCTTTGTTCACTTTAGACATCCTGTCCCTGACCCTAGTACCTAAAATTAACCATTTTTAGAAAATGTAGGAAATTCACGTCAACATGTTCCAAAGCCTGAAATTACCTAATATTCACCATGGACATCCTACCCCTGATCCCAGTACTTAAACTTAACCATTAATCCTGATCCCTCATGTTAACCTCAGACCCCCGACCCAAAGACCCCTGGTGGCGCAACCCGGAAAAGCCGCGGGCGTCAAGGACTGACGCGAGGGGGTCACCTGATGCGTCAAAATAAGACGCAGAGGGAACTTTGGAAAAGCGTCAATATGTGACGAGTCGGGAGTGAGAATGTGTAGCATTTCAGCAAGGACTGAGCTACCCCTAGCCTGGCCCTTGCCTTCCAATGCAGCTCCGCTCAATTCTAGTTTCCCTTCTCTGCTCCGTCTGGGATTTCTTCCACAGAAAAGGATTTCGCTGGCAGATTTTTAGCCAGGCCAATCAGAGAACAGAACGTCAATTTTCTGCGCAGTGTCTGCTTGTAGTTTATTTTACCTGGACCAATCAGAGAACAGAAGAAGGAGTTTTGAATGACGTCGATGTTCTGCGCAGTGTCTGCTAGTTAGTTTAGCATACGGCAGTGGAGGAAGTGAATGAAGCCAGTCCGTGTTGATAAGGCTTCCAAATTAAATTAAATTTGTCTGACAAAGCAGCAGCTCTCATTTACAGCCGTCTCGTTCAGCTCGGTACTTTTCTCCTCTCAGTAGGGTTGTTTACAGCACACGCGATTTCCGGTTAGCTTCTTAGCTTAGCCTCCGTCACAGCGACATACGTCGCAGCCAACTGATCCAGTCATTTTAAACTTCAGCAGAGGCCACGCCTCCTGCAAGAATCACTTCTCTATGCAGCAAGTCCAGACCCTCGTACGAAGCAAAGTGAAGGACAGGGTCTGGTTTAAACCAGGCTAAGCTACCCCTATCAGATGTTATTTATTTACACATTGTCACCACTTTTCCCTACTAATGTAAGTTTATTTGTTTTTGTTTTTCAAAAAYAGTTTAAGAATAGGTTGCTTTTTAAACATCTCCAGTTTGGAGAAATATAATTTAGTTCTGACCGGACCGAAGGGCTAAGGGCAAGTCTAAGGTCAAGATCAAGGTGACTGATATCATCTCTCAAAAAAATGTCAAGTACATTTGTTTCAAACTTTCATATCACAAGCTCATCAGTCTGGTCAGAATAAAATTATTTCTCCAAACAGAGGTCACTCAAAGAGCTATCTACAACAGGTAAGATGTTAATTGTCTATTATCCTATGCAGAAAGCCACTACAAAAAATCTTGAATATTGCTTTAATGTTTAGATAAATCTATAGCTCATTGCAAACATTGTTGTTTTTTTGCTTGTATTTATCCTTTATCATTTTTTCTTCACTTTGTTGCCAAACATCTATCTCTAATCCCATCTTATCTGTCATTTTTAGAATTTCATCCTGCGTTTATAGATCTCTTCGTTGGCAAGCACACGCTTCTCTGCATATTGGCACCAATTTAGGATCTAAAGTATGCAACGTTATCCTATCATTAAATGTGGCTGCTCCCCATCTCCTGCTCCACCACAGCTGCTGCTGACATGCAGGCCAGCGGCATGCCAATCTGACAAGATTCTAATAAAGATAAATATTATTGCCACAATAACGCATTTTTATTGTGCTTCTGCCACTAATCATTCAGCGAGTCCGCGGCAGACAGTGATTAAACAGCCTTTTTTATTTCTCATTCCTCCAACAAAAGGGAGAAGCCTTGGCTCCGTGCCTTCCAGCTCACCAGAGGAATATAAAGTGTCCATGGCTGATCTCCTCTGGGCTCCGTTCATCAATCATCCCATCTGAGCCCATTAGGGTGGCAGCCTTCTCAAATACGCAGCAGCATACGGAGCTGAGGCAGCACCTGTGTCGAGAGCACGTGGCTGGCTGCTGCCAAAGCCGGCGTCACCGTCGCAACAGCAGTAATAATCAGACCCACCGTCAAAAAATAAATAAATAAATAAAATATGACAGCGTTCTGGAAATGTCTTATGCAAACCTGAGCCACTCACTGTCAGCCTCGCGTTATCACCATAAATTCGGCTTGATTAATGGGATTAGACGTCGGCGGCAGAAAAAAGAAAAACAAAGCAATCTAGGACTGACTATTCCAGAAACGCTTACTTACGTTGAGAAGCTGCTCAAAAGCAAACGTGAAGCCGGATTTGTAATCTGTGGTTCCTTTGGCTTGCATAAGCATGACGGCCTCCTTGAAGATCTTCTTGTTCCGAACGTTTGCTTGAACCAAAGTCCTGAAGCAGGGAACAACAGCCTCTGCCTTTTCATTGAACTAGGAGAAAAACAAAGACACACAAATGTGCATTATGATATACTGTATATTTTGGTATTTCTGGTCAAGAATAATCCAGATATAAACTCAGGTAAGTATGTCTGTGTCGTGTGCTTGTTATGCGTGTGCGGTTCATGAAGGCAGGATGCAGCAGACGTGGGTGTGTGCAGATGTGAGCTGCCCTGCTACTCTCTGGCTGCCAGTAAACACAGGTAATTACAACTTTCCCTATAAAGAACAGGTGCGCCTGAAATGCCAGCGCAGTGTGCCGAGTGGAAACCCAGCCAAGGTAATATCATCTGTCTCATCTCATCCACCAAATTAACCTAAAAACTGTGTCCCTGCGCGCACGTCTGCACGTGCGGCGTACGCATCTCCTCTCGCGAGCGGCGTCTACGCGTGATTAGGACATTAACGGCGACGTCTGAAATGGCATGTCTCAAATGTTGTTTCTTCTTGAAGGTCAGCTTCAGAATTCACTGACATTTCCACCCACAGATTGATGTAAAATCTTGTGTGTGCGAAATGCTGACATTTCCCACGAAAGTTGCTGCTGTCACATATTTAAAATGCACAGAAAACAAAAGCGCAAAAGCATTCGTGGGTAATATTATTGCAGTGTAATAAAAAAAAGGAGAACCTCTGAAAAATGATTAAGGAAATTTTAAGCAACTATTACCATTAGAAGTGAGGCAAATAACAAAATAAAAGTGTCTGAAACAGGCAAAAGATTGCATTTAGTGATAATCTTTGGCAAATTCTCTGTTATTTATGGGGTTTTGTGTTTGTGAATAATTCACAGCCGGCTTATGTAAGCCCTCACTTTCTTCACTGTGGCGAAAATCAGATGCGCTCCCACCCAGATTACCATGCTCGTTCCTTGCTCTTCGAGCTGGGATTTAGGGGCATACAGTGGCTAAAAGCAATGGATTATGAAGGATTACCAAAAGAGAGTCTGCAAAATAAGCCACCACACCAAGCAGCTGGATGTGTTTGTGCGTTTGTGGGTGTGTGCGAGAGAGAGAGAGAATGCAAGTGAGCATATGTGTCTTATCTGCCCTGCAAAATGGAATAATATTCTCCTACATATTAATCCTAATAGAAAACCTGGTAATCAGTGGAGAGTAAAAGACACAGATGGACACAATTCTACACAAACAACGGTGATGGAGGAAGAGCAAACACACAGATATGAGAGGAATGCACAGTTTCCACTGCAAGCAAACAACTGGGAGCAGAAAGAGCTCAATGCTGCGCTTAATGATTCCCAGCTTAATTAGAATCCGCTTAATAAAGACGGCAGTATTAGCAGTATTACCACTAGCAGAGATGACGTTTATCGTTGACGCTGAAGCTTTCACAAACCTTTGCTACGTTCACGTAGTCATCATCTGATAGAGTTTCCAGCATCTCCACCACAGATGTTTTCATGAGCTTCAGCGTGAGTCCACTGACACTTCCACTCCTGCAGGAAAAGAAGTCCTCAGATGACTGGTAACATGTAGAGAGATTCATTGTGTTTTCATTTTTCAATCAAACTCACTTTGCAATTTACTCAGTATTTCTTCATAATTACCTCCTTATAAAAAAGTTCAAGGATAAACTTGTGTGAAATAATTGTATAATCGCAAGAACAGCTCCATATTTATCCCTTGATGCTCTAAAAGTCAGCCTCCCACCTCGTTATTGTGACTTGATATCTCCCGCAGTTTAGATCTAATGTCTTTATGTCAGAGGCTTTCTGAACCAGTAAACCGGGATGTAAAAGGCCTAAAGGTTGGAGGATGAGTAGCAGTAAACTTCCCATTACTTTAAGCTTTCATAAGACCAACAGGTGGCACTAGTGTCCTGTGAAGGAGGCATCCAGGGGAGCAGTGGGGGGACAAACAAGGTGAAAGAGGTCCGAAATACTTACACATCTACAATGATGACCATGTCTTTTGGAGACGATGCACCTTGAATATACCTACACAAAAGAGGCAAAGAATGAGCTTTAATTTGTTCCTACGATCTCTGAAAATTGCACCAAAAAGAGGAGTCAAAGTCACAATGAAGTGAGTCGTAATGACACAGAGCAACCATAGCTGAGCTCACTTATAGGCTACAGAATCCTGAAAAGAATCCTGAAAAAGCTTATGTGCTTAGAAGCGTTAATAGGTTGTTATATACTTCAGTGTTGGCTGCAGCTACTGTCAGATGGCTTTTCTATAGATAGTCCTCTTTATTGAATAACAGTGTCTCAGAACTGCATGAGCCAAAGTAATTAGTAGTTGATGGTCTGAGTATATTAGCGACCCATTGAGTCTTTGGGAAATGGTAAACCTCCCTAAACACCGCATCAGTATTGTGAGATGTCCTTCATAATTGGTCTAATGATTTAATATAAATTGAATAAACTTTTTTTATGTCAGAGTTTAAAACAGGCAATCACACACAGCTACCACTCGTAATTACAGCTCAATATTCAACTGAGTTATTTWAATTTTTGTATAGCCGAGGTTGAAATGTTGTTTCAGAGCCATAAAGGGAAGAACTGGTGAATGGGCTAAAAAGGCTTTACCAAATCAATATTTTTCACTATCAAAATGTAGTTTTATTTGCTCAATTATAGGACCTCATCATTCCTGATGATAAAACAATTTATAAAAAGCTGTATTTGCTTCTTCCTTTTTGTTCTCGTCTTTTACACGCTTTATACCTGCCCATTCTGAATTTACTCGTCAAGAAACAGCCCAAGTGGAGATGACCTGTGCTGCGGAAGCCCATCCCGACCTGAGTAATTTCAGTAAAATGAGGTAGCAAATGTTCTGTTCCCAGGATGACTCATAAGTAGTGTCAAATGCATTATTTACTCTATCTGCCCCCCCACACTTTTTTTAGAAAGGGAAGAGGGGCAAGCCGCTTAAGATCATTGTGCTTTAGCAGCAAGGCAACTCCTGAAATTGTGTCTGCCACAGCACGGTGCAGGCTTAAAGAGCAGAAACTGAAATAACGGGGCAGACAAATTTCGTCCTGGAAGGAGCGGACACTTAACATCTGCTCAACGTTGATAGAGGATGACATACAGAGAAAAATCAAAAAGCCCCTCAGTCTCTTCCAGTGGCAATTAAATTCACATTTAGCAATGATTCAAAGAGGGTTTAGATTGATGGTCAGTGTAGGGTTTTCTATGGCTCGATGAGGGGGGGGGGGGGGGGTCTCTGATGTGAGCGTTAGTTTGACATTCCGAGGAGTGAGCAGGCAAGCAGTTAGCAGCCGTCGTAGGCAGAGTAATCATCAGGGGTCTCGTTTCTGCTGATTATCAGACGTTCCGCTGAGTGTGGAGTGAAGCCAGCTGCCTGTGGGCCAAAGAGGCGCCTTTTTTTTTTCTTCTTGCGCTCGGCCAAACTGATAAGGAGGTAGAGAAAGTCAACGGAGCCTCAGTTGGTCTCGCCGCTGTTTCCACAACTAGCAGTTGTGAATGACCTCTGACCAGATGCAAGCCTGGGCTGCTTGATAACCAGGGTCACAACATTTGTTTTAATGCTGAATGAAAAAAATGCAGAAAAAAACAACTTTACAAGTGACAGATTAATTGAGCTTACCAAGAGGAAAGATAGGCAAAAATCTGTGTGTATAAGAGAGAGAGAGTGAGAGACGGTGGATCAAGAATCCAATTATTTAAAAAAAAAAGCTACATCAAAGGTAGAACTTCCAGAGCTTTCCACTTCTGTGTGGCAAAGGAAATCAGGTCTGGAACCATGAGGCATATAGGCATGCATGACTTTTATCAATTTAATTACTGAAATCTTAATTTGAGGTGGGGGGGGGGGGGGGTGGGGGTGGGCTGAGACTCTGCAAAGCAAGGAGGGCTGCTTTTCTCTTTAGCAGCCAGAGTTTGTGAAAGCGATCAGTGATGCGGGACTGAAGCTTGGTCAGAATGTGGCACACGTCTCAAGTCCCCGAGGCTCGTCGATGGACAGAGTCACCTCGGCTGGAGATTAAAGGAGGGTCATTTGGTGACGGCTGATGCTCACAGACCAACTGCACAATTTCATTAACTTCCGTGGTCAGTCTATTTCCTCATGGAGGAGAATGGTCTTTTAATGGGAATTTGAGTTATTTTTGCAGAGGCTAAATGTTAATTATAAGGCGATGCAGACTTCTATTACTCTGTCATTATAGGTCATCCTCAGCGGCTCCAATGTAAAGCCTCACAATGAAGAACTGCACGAGCTTTACCCTTAAAATATGCTGAGGAAATATTACTTTCAAGCAGATCATTTCTCTGCAGCTGTGAAAGAGGCAGCATTGATCAGCAGTAATGGGGTTTAGGGAAGATGTGTGTGAAGTGATGGAGTGGGAAGGGGTCGGGGTAGAGCTCGAGCTATAGTGCTGCCACGGCTGATCTTCCGCACAGATTGGCCTGGTGTATCAGCACCACACTCTCTCCTCCTTTTTTTCATCGCCTGAAGTGCAGCTGAGTTTCGTCTCTGCCTTTGAGCGAACACCGTCGGGATCAGAAGGAGATTGGGATGGAGTCGAGGATTTTCAGTCTCGGGGCTGATAGCGCTGCTCCGGCAGATAAAAATCAAGTATTAAAGCCAATATCGGCGTATAATTCACCACATTTTGACTTGCGGATCCAGATGTGTTGTTTCTGCATGGATTCCAGACAGTAATTACCTCTCAGATTCTGCCCACTGATGCCTTTCTTTCCCTGTCATTACCCAGTCTTCTGCATGCCAAGACCAGGTGACAAGCAGATGGGCCTGGCTGGTGGTGAAGAGAGCCCGCCCTGTCGCCCACCCCGTCCCCACCACAACAAAACCAACAGGCAGCAGAGCCAACATCTCAGCCTCTTGCATCTATGTTTATTTACTAAGAGTTATAAAAGGAACACCTGACAATGAGCAGCACCTTATTTAACATAATACCACCTCTACCGTCTGTGATTTACATCACAAGTTAATCATAAGTTTGGCCATGCTTTCTCTCAAATGATTTTTTATGGTCCTAATAACAAACAAGCAGAACCAGTCAGATAAACTCACTGMGTTAACGAATGTGAAAGTCTGCAAACTAATCTGCTCAGACCATCGATCATTTTAAATCAATGACATTATTCTTCAATAGATTCCAGTTTTGATTGAGTTGGACATCCTGGCTTTATTGTGGAAGCTTAATTAAATCAATTCTTTTAAAACTTTTGGAAAAATCTGATCCTGCTTTAATGTACGTTATACTTATGGAAGTTCCAGAAATGTTTGGTTTGAAACTTTAGATTTTTTTCGAGCAGAGAGATTGTTTTTAGACCGGACAAAAACTCAGACTTGTCATCATTTTATTATGTACCTGTAAATCATGGCTGTTAAAATTATTTGCATAAGAAAAGTAGTCAAAATGCAAATGCATCTTTATAAGAAAGCTCCAGAAAACTTCTTATCCATTAGCTTTACAAGTATTTAAACACATTTTTTATTTGATCTGTTAGCTCTTGGAGTATGTGGGGCATGGTTCCCACACCTTGGTCTACATCAAATTCAAGGACTTTTCAAGGACTTTCCAATACCAATTTCCTCAAATTCAAGAACCACGTGCAACAGCAATTACCTGCTGCTACCACAGAATGTTATCAATAAACAATTTTAATATCATGTAAATTCAATGAAAAACTGGGAATCAATGAAAGAAAGTGGATTAAACATATACCATACATTCACATCCACAATACATGGACATGTAATTATGTCCTGGGAGGTTTGTCAGCTCAGTTTGGGAGGAGGGGATGTGAACAGGTTCAGATGCTCGGTGAGGACAGGAGGAGCTGTGGTGCTCTCACCTGGGCTCAGAAAGAATGACCCGCCCTACTCCGCTCTGATTGGGTAAAACTATGACTATGGCTCAAGTTATTTGTTAAAAGTCACATCAGTTTACTGTAATCCTGAGTTATCCACTGCAACAAATGTATTTTTTAATTTTTTTATTTATATTTATATATAAATTTATTTTTTACAGATGATAAAAATCAGTTGTATAAGTAGAGAACTTCAATCCCCAAAAAACTTTCAAGGACTTTCAAGGACAAGTGTAATTTTTGGCTGTTTTCACAAACTTTCCAGGGCCTTGAAATCATTTTTAATTCACAAACTTTCAAGGATTTCAAGGACCCGTGGGAACCCTGCAGGGGTGACCCTCAGCTTCTACAGAATCAAATATCTGCATCTCTATCCGTAAAATGGTCTGGGTTGAACCAAAACTCTGTTCATAGTGGCTTGTACGAGCACAAAGTAGATACAACATACAGTACATCGTGTATTTTGTGATCTAAATACATTTAAAACATCACAGACATGTGCGTGACAGTATGTACAATCAAGATAAAGCCCGGGATGCACGCGCTGCTGAYGTGTGCTCCTTACACCGAGGCAGAAGGAGGTATCGCTCCGAGTCAGAGGAGATCAAAGCGGCAGCKTTCACAGACACCCCACCTTTACAGCTCACCCAGCTCTACCTGCTTCCTTCCAAAAATAAATTCAAAAGGAACGCATTATAGAAGCAATGACACAATAACATATTCTGCGTTGTGCTGTGATTGTGTTTCGCTCCTTTTGTAACAGTCTGGTAAAGGAGTCTCATTGGAATTCATGAAATAGTTTTATCGTGGCTCAGCRCTGCGCAATCAATACATTAACTGTGCCGGAGGGGGGGGTGGGGCTAGCCCTCTCTCGGGAGATTGTGTTTGTGCGCCCTGGCCCGTTCAACAAAGTGTTGCGCATTACATTTAAATTGGCCGAATATTCGACACGGTGCATTTCAGAAGCATGCAGCAGAYGCATGCGACATGATGCAACGGAAGTGGCTGGGGCTCATTTTACGGTGTTCACAGAAAACGCTTCCTGTCGCGTGCCGATGTTTGTACGAGCTGTGTTTATTCGACACATTTTGCAGCGCTTGTTGATAATGATGCGGGGTGGGGG